TGAGCGCCAAAGTGGTAGGAGGATTATCGCATTTGCTCTCATTAAGATGGCGCCACTGTAGAGTAAGGTCCTGTCAATCGCCAGGGGTGCCAACTGTTAAGTATAAAAACGATACCTCTCATTGATACGGCTAAGTGTCTAGATTAAATAACTTACGTAATAAAGACTTGATTTAGTAGGTATGTATATGAAACCAAACGAATACTATGTGCTTCAATGTTTTATATACCTATATTTGATTTTTATTGCTTAGTCATTATTCAGGTGTAATTCTGTGTCATGAGATTTTAATTTAATAATTTAAATGAGTTAGGGTCGATTTAATGAATAAGTTGTATAATTATCAAAAAGTACCTATTTATTAGTCTGTCTACAAAGTTAAATAGTGGACACCGGTAGTGACCTTTGTATTTCTTTAAATTAAAAATATCGATATTCTAACATCACTGGCCGACCTCCGACGTCGGAGTGCGTGCCTCAGCATCCGACGGGCGTCTTAGCGGAGGTGAGCGCCACCTTGCGATATCGACAGCTCCACGCACGCACAGCCCTAGTTTGAACAGATTGTATGGGTGCTTTGGGAGAGCTACGCGTAGTGCATAGTTATAGCGGGTATGTAGTCATTTGGGGTGCAATTTATGCCCTCTTTGTATAATAATTTACTTATCAATGGACGACTATTTCGATAGTTACTGCAAAAAGAAAAAGCGGAAAATTGTTTGTTTTTCTTAATTGATAGGTAGATCATACATATAATGGCAATGATTATAGCAAAATTGTTTTGTTAGAGCGTGTTTTGAAGTGATTTAAAAATGTAATTGGCGCCCAACGTGGGGCTACCGACTATTCTTTAACTTTTCTCACAATAAAGTTTACTTTAACGTAAGTTGCAAGACAGAAAATCGAGCAAATGTTGACAATATTGTTAGAATTAGAGAATGCAAAGGGTAAATTTTGAACTTGGTTAAAATAGATATTTTTGCGTTTCGCCCGGGGCCAAAAGTTGTCAGTCGCCGTCGATTCGCGTAATCGGCTCAGACAGGTGCGGGCGTATTTTAATTTGCAACTAATTTCGCCGCTTCAGAGTTAAAGAGGATTGCAAAGTTAGTAATTACGGCAACGAAAATTGCTGGACCGCGAGCGAAGCTTTGAGTTGCGACGTTTTAATGTACGGCGGTGATTGGCGACGGAAATTCGTTACGGACAACGCTTTTTGCCGGTCGCGCACACCTCAGACATTGTGTTTTGGCGCCCAACGTGTAGCATTTGAGATATAATTTATTTTCTTAATTTACACAACCAGAATAATAAGGAATATAGATTTACTGTTTTTTTCTTTATGAACGTTCCTATGCCATGCAATTATTAACCTAAGTCACACTCCACAAACAGGCCATAAAGTAAAAAATGTGCTTAACATTTTAGGATGACTACGAGTGTGAAAGCAGTGAATTTCTACAAACTTGTTGTTGTAACTAAACTACAAAGATTGCAAGCTCAGTTTCCAACAAGGCGATGAAAACCGTGGGGTTTGTAATTGGTTAGGCAGGCACGATATACCGGGAATGCCGGGACGACAGCAATCAGCCAAATTACAGGATCACACCTTCCATTGGCGGCGGTGAATGAGCTAATTGAGTACCTTGTGATTTGCAAGCGCCGGAGTTAGTGNGTTGCGACATTTTAATGTACGGCGGTGATTGGCGACGAAAATTCGTTACGGACAACGCTTTTTGCCGGTCGCGCACACCTATTTCGGAGATTGTGTTTTGGCGCCCAACGTGTAGCATTTGAGATAGATGTATTTAAAGTTTTTTTCTTAATTTGCACAACCAGAATAATAAGGAATATAGATTTACTGTTTTATTCTTTATGAACGTTCCTATGCCACGAAATTATTAACCTAAATCACAGTCCACAAACAGGCCATAAAGTAAAAAATGTGCTTAACATTTTAGGATGACTACGAGTGTAAAAATCACTGGTTGTAACTAAACTAAAAAGATTGCAAGCTCAGTTTCCAACAAAGCGATGAAAAGCGTGGGGTTTGTAATTGGTTAGGCAGGCACGATAAACCGGGAATGCCGGGACGGCAGCAATCAGCCAAATTACAGGATCACACCTTCCATTGGCGGCGGTGAATGCGCTGATTGAGTACCTTATGATTTGCAAGCGCCGGAGTTAGTGTAGGNGTACCTTGTGATTTGCAAGCGCCGGAGTTAGTGTAACCTAGCATTATCTGGCTGGTGATTACCTTGATCTTACCTACTGATTCCGTAATTAATGTTATTCAGTTATTCGAGGATTAAATGCGAATAGATCCCTTTTTTATATCTCCTTAATGGTTAGCTATAATAGTGAGGGTTAGATACCTACCTCTTGATATCTTCATTTTAATTATTTTATTTTTCATACAAATCGGATGTTATAAAATTTATTTTGTATGAAAATTTAAAAAAATAAAATGATGATATCAAATTTCCGACTTCACCATACCATTTATATGCCCATGTTGACATGGGCTAGTGTCGGCTCATATACCCATTTACCTAACACCCTGTATAATTGAATAAAAACGAAGGGTATCGTCGTCATTTTACACTTTTGTTTCATTTATCGAACATCGAGGACTCTGAAATAAAAAAAAATCTTCGTAAAATCTTAATTACCTAGTTAGATACCGATCCAAGCTATTGTTCGCTTGCACCAAGCTTGCTACAAGCCAAGGAAATTGAATAGTAACGATTAATTTTCTTTTTAAATCTTCGACTAGCCAAAAACTCATACATACTTACTTACCTACCTACTTAATGTCCTCGCCTCCTAAAATTATTGCACCTAACATCTTTTATCACCTAAATGTTCAATTGTTTACTTCCGTAACACCTGTCCCCGTCGCTACAGGCCCCACAGCATCCACAAATCCCTTCAAGTGGGGTCCGGTGGAACGCACCCCAGGGGCACGTCAGGTGTACACGCACGCACGGAGTTACTTTCTTATCACCCGCCCTCTGGGAGTGCGGAGTTATAGGATAGTCGAGTTGGAACTTGATTGTTGGAAGTTCGTGAAAAGTATTTTCGGAAATGTTTAGATGTGACTACTTAGAGGTAAGATCGTCCTGAAAATAGAACCCATTGACCCTTCAAAATAAGTAAACACTTCAAAAGCGCGTAACTTTAGCGTCCATCATAATCTTATTCAATATACGGATCTTTCAGGTCACTTCTCCCCAAAAACCTCTTAGCCTAGGCGCAGACCATCGACTTTTAGTTGTCCGATAGTTGGGTCGGGCTTGTTAATCAGTATGGGCGTGACATGAAAGTGTGCACATTACCTACACCGATTTGATATCGGCCGATTCTTCATACAAATTAAAATCCGTCCCAACTATCGGCCGACTAAAAGTCGGTGGTCTGCGCCTAGGCTTGGAGTAAAAAATGCATCTCTTTAGGGATTATTTGGTGTAGGTACACATTAATCAGAGTAATAAATTAACTCCATGAATGAACAGAGCGTATTGAGTAGCGTCCTGCGTTCCCACATCATTGCCTAATACAATCAACAATAGAAAACAATAGTTATACTGTTCCGTGTATGTGTCGGCGGCTGAGCCCGCCAGTTTTATTTTAGTCGCAATTACACCTTTAAAGAAATCACATGTTTTACTGTTCCAACCTTCTGACGTACGTTTTGTGGACTTAACTTATAAAGTGGACATTACTTATAACTTTATAAGTGGACAACAACAATAATATACCTGAACATAACGTATATTGTATGAAATTGAAAGTAAAAGCATCGTATTGAAAGAGATCAAATTAATTAGAAAATTACTCTGACCATGACTTAAAGCTTCAAGCTCGAAGAGTGCACTCGAAAAATCTGAAATACCTACCTACGTATGGCTAACGTGGCATTTTGTTCCACGCCAGCCGTACAACAAAACAGAAGGTCTAACCTAGCCCTACCTGGCCCAGTAACCCACTAAGCGCCCTAACGGCTAAAAGGTGGCTGAGGGCCGGCGCGTGCTCGATGGCCGATGTATCGAGCTTCCAGGTCAATCTGCCACTTACGCTAGAGCTGTGCCGGTGCTCGATAATTTGTCGATATCGTTAACCGAACGATATGTGAACTTTTAGAACACAACTTCGCATGCAAGTTACTGAATCAGAAGACGAAGACTTCATTGTTCTTACAGTGAAGTCTCTATCACTCTGTACCTGCATCTGTACTATTGAAGACCTAGTTTTTTACAGGGGAAAATAAGTCATTAGACCCGTAACGTGGTCACTCAGAAGGAAATAACTACAAGGTCCATCTTAAGGTTTAAAGGTGTAGATTGCTCTCATTTACTGTTGCATTGTATTATTGGCTTATTGTGTAACTTGAACTGATGTTCCTTTTGTAAGTTATAACTGTCTAAAACACTGGGTATCGTATCGATATTGTTGCCGTGTATCGATGTTGCGGTCCGCCCCTGTTGCACACGTGTCGAGAGACCAGCCGTCAGCGGTTCGCAAACGGGTTAAGAGCGCAGGTGCTTAGCGCCCTTCAGCGCTAAACTGCACTACGACTAACACGTTAAAAACGCTTCCTTTTTTCATCTCTTTTGTTATTTTTGGAGTGCTTTCGTGTTGGATTCGTGGTTATGCAGTGACAGGGTCGCTACGCTAGTCGCCTGAACGTATTAGATTGCTTCCAAGGTATACTAATTGAGTAATTCCAATCAGTTACTAACTTCAGTTACTTTGAATTTAATAAATAGCTAGTCAAATTGATGTACCTATTGTAAATATCCTGGCAAACTTGTTTAAAAAACAACATGTAGACTGACAACATAAATCAATAAATCATATTATTTAATTACGTGATAAGATCTAAAACCTGTGTAATTAAAATCAGTAAACAAATAATATTTTATTTTAAAAGCACACGTGGCGCTATCAATTCAACTAAATTCTATTGAGCTATAATGTTGGTATTCAAATTAAACAAGTGATTATTTATGGAAAATTTATTCGTGATTCCGAAGTAGTAAAATAAAAACTCTACTCTCAACACACTACGAGTCCGTGAGCGACCGTCGCCATAGCACGGATTAAGGCACGGGACCTTCGCGTTATGACGTCACGGGTGCCGTCACACTACAAGGCTGGTGCAAAAAAAACTATTCAAGAAAAAAATATGTAGGCAAACTATTCTTTGTTATCTTTTTTCTATTTTGTTTAAAAATAACGGCAAAAATTTCGACCCTGAAGTGTGACAGTACCCTAAAGATCTTCACTCATCTGACAACTTGCCACCTCGTTATTGGTTTTTGAATGAGGGTTTTCGCGAATGAAAGATCCGCTAGATGGCGGGACGTGGATGTGGGGTCTGACTGCGCGTGATTGGTGGATTTTGACATATCTGTCAATGTCATGTCAAAAATAACCAATCATGCAGCATTTGGACCTCGCGTCTACGTATTGTCATCTGGCGGATTTTTCATTCGCGAAAACCCTCATTGAATGGTTATTGAATGATACGCATTCAAGTTTATACAGTCGTTACTTTATTTAGTACAACTCAACCTGTCAGATGAGCAATGACCTTAAAATGGCCTAATTAGAGTACAATCCGTGGCGGAACAACTATAAAGAAATCTTTTATGAACATAATATACATAAGATTAGACCAATTTCACATATAAGTACCTATTCTGGAATCTAATATTTGTGTAATACATTGTTGCCGCCACGGGGTGTGCAATTGCATATAAGTACAATAATAAACGATATCATCTCTGTAACATTTTTTACCATTAACTGGAATACATAACGGCAAAAACTGTCACAGCTATGTAAGCTACATAATAAATATAAACTTATTAAAATACAAAGTATAAAATGTCTATAAGTAACACAAATATTTAGTGCGATACAAATAATAAATTGTCATTTCTTGATTGCTTCGAAATAAAATGATCACATCATTTCAAACAACAATCAGCATTCGTTTTGGACGGAGAAACAAAAAGAAAACTCACACAAACTTAAGATTAGCAGTCTAAATAAAAAACCATACAGAGATTCTAATGTGTCGTAAAATCTAAATTACCTTAACACTAATTTGTAATTTATTTATGATCACGATTGTTCACCGCTGTCCGATGACATTCTACCTTGTCCAATGACAGTTTGCTGAACTTTAAAGTCGAGATCGAAATTTTATTTAAGTAATCCGTTGAAAAAATACGTCTACTCTGTCCTACGTAGTATGCAACAATTTGAAAGAGAAAGAAGCTGAATTTGAAATTACATACTTTTGGAAGCATTACAATAGTTGGATTAATTTAATAAAAGCAGCCAAATGGCACATTGTGGGAGAGGAATTTAGAAGGAGATAAATGCTAGTCAGTTTGAGATGGTAAGAGTGAATGTTTGATGGTATAATTTTTAAGTAATTTACCCAACTATGGATAATCAAATATCATATAACTGAATATTATACACTATTAAATAATTGCTCAAAAACTTTATAATAAAAATAATTAAGTGATTATACACTAAAAATAATAATATCTATGTGACTGATAAGTATAATTATAGTGTGATCTTAAACTAAGTGGCTAATAGTTATTAGCACTCGAGTGAAGGGAAGTACATAGTTCATAATCACTAAGTAGGTACAATCATTCATGATATTAGTATGGCAATGGGTTAAATGAAATGTCTGTTAAATAGGACATAAATGGGTTTAGGTGTGAACTTCCTTGGCGGATATAATATGGTTCACTTGATAGTATTCAAGATACACAGAAAGCTTAGACAAAATAAATTTATGTTGTGTAGAAATAACTATTTTGGACGAGTTGTTCTTGTTGTATTGCTTTCAGGAACATTATTGTTTTAGTGTCAATATTTTTAAATTTATATTTGGGCACTTGTGTGATCTGCGTATTATGTTTAATTATTACTATCTACTATAGTAATTTATAAGCATATACAGGATTGATACTTCAAAAACAAAGAGAATAACGTAAGTGTAGCCGATCTATTTTGCGCGTAATGAGCATTTGGTCGATTTACATTTAACATGAATAGCCGACTAATATTTGAATTATATCATGATAATATAGTTCCATGGCATTAGGATTGAAGTTGCAGTTTATTTATGATATACATCTTAGTGGTGACGATGTTGTGTTTTCCTTTTACAACACAGTAAACTTGTAACTTGTCACATGGAAATGGGATACAGTGCGACCAGCACCGATCCTAGAAGTGCATATTTTTGACTTACAATAAGTTTCGCGAAAAACTGATTGTGTATTTTTTTTGTCTTCGGCACTTTTGAGATTTTGGTTAAAGTACCTAATAATGTGCTCAAAGTTTTTATTGAACTTCGAAAGTTCTGAGCGTAAAGCGTTTGGTTGCAGTCTGCTAATGGATACAGTCTGCTACCAAACGTGAAAAGAGAGAGATCCAACAATACGTAGCTTACAAGCTATGTTTTGTTGATCCCCTTGAATTGATGAGGGCTATGAATGTGTGAATGTGACTAATTGTGTATTTTGTTACTGGTCGTTATTGAGATTCACGAGTCGTATGCTCCTAGTGGGGTCATATGAAGCTACGTATTTTGAAATGTTTGAAGCTACCGGTGTAGTAGTGAGTGTTGGCTCACTAGTGGTGCGACCTTAAGAGGATGCAGATAGGTGTGTGGGCGCTAGATGAAGAACTCGCGTCGCTTGGTGACGCGCGGGCCCGTGGCGGCCGCCAGCGCCGCGGCGTCGGGGTCGGCCGCGCCGTCTGCGCCGCGCTCCTCCTAAAGACGCCATAATTGTTAGATTGTTAAAGCCTGGTCCGTGAGCACGTACAATTTTGTCCAATGACCCCAAGCTACCCATCCTTATCGCTCGTAATTATATTGCTGTCGCGACTGTGCGACGGGCGCCCCCAGTGAGTGTGCGAGCGCGACAGCAACATAATTACGCGCGAGCGATAAGGATGGGTAGCTTGGGGTAATTGGACTAAATTCTACGTGCTCACGGACCAGGCTTTAGATAGATATCACACGTGAACTTAGCATGATAGAATGGCACTTGCAGCGTTATAGTCTGGTCTGCGAGCACGTAGAATTTTGTCCAATGACCCCAAATTACCCATCCTTATCGTTCGCGCGTAATTATGTTGCTATCGCGCTCGCACACTCACTGCGGGCGCCCGTCGCACAGTCGCGACAGCAATATAATTACGCGCGAGCGATAAGGATGGGTAGCTAGGGGTCATTGGACAAAATTCTACGTGCTCACAGACCGGGCTATAGATAACGGGTTGTCGTAATCTAGCTAAGCAATGGTGTTTTAGGGGCTAGTAACTATTGATTATCTTCAATCATTAAATGAATTTTTCCAATCTAAATTATGGTGAGTCGTGTTAGATGCCTTTTTTGAGTAAAATGAGTTTATTGAGAAATGAAAAAAAAACACTCATTTAAATGGAGGTTTACAGTTTTGTTTTTCTTAAAATCACATCGTATAAGATATAATTAGTATTTATGTAATTCAAATAATGTACCTGCGTGAGATATTCTCCCTTGTGTCGCGATAGTGCGCGCACCAGCACCACGGCTACAATGACCAGCAGTAGGAAGATGAATGCCAACACCGCTGCAAGAGACAAATTCAAAATATTAAAATTATTTTGTTATAAAACTATGCATGATGCACGGGTTGCTTTCAATTTGACATGATCGCAGAGCGCATCCAGCTTCTATCTGGGTTACTCTATCGCGTAAAGAGTTTAACCCTATGTCGACAATTTTTTTTTCGGAACGTGCAATGTGTTTGATATTATGCAGCAGTTATTCAACTTTAACGGTGCAGCGTTCGTGTCGTGTTCCTTTTATAAAAGTAGTATGATGGGTTCCTGAAGTATGCAGTCAGTACAGTCAGGAGTTCATAACTATGTCGCAGAGATATAGCAACTGCCAAAAAATTTGCTGATATCGTGCTGCTGACAAATTTTTTTCCAACTAGAACTAGATTGAAGTCTTGGGTTTGGTGTGTAGGCTATACAGGGTGTCCCAAAAGGTAGTGTCAAGCCGAAGCCCAGATGTAAAGCATCACTAGGGCTACCCGAACCGAATCACTGACTTTTGACAGTTTTCGAGTTGATTTTTTTTACAACATACAGGATTTTCAACTTTTTTAGTTTACATTCGTGTAATGGATGTAAATACTTTTGAATCAGCTAGGTCCAGTATTAATCTAATAATAATAAAAAATAACCTTATCTATTCGCGTCACAACAGTGACCAAAAAAGTGCCTAAGCACAGAAATTTAAAACAATCATAACTCGAATACTATCAAAAATCGCAGAACATACATGGGGGTGATTCAGATAGCCGTAGTGATGCTCTACCTCTTGGCTGCAGCTTGACACTACTTTTTGGGACACCCTGTATTATGATTATTGCGAGGGGCACTCACTGCCGAGGATGGCCTCGTCGGTCTTGTGGTAGTCGCGCTCGGCCTGCAGGTCGGTCCGCGGCGGCGGGCGCGTCTCCACCGCCTCGGGCGGGTGAGTCACCGGCTCCACGCCGCAGAAGTCTTCGTGCAATACGCCGCCTGCGGGAAACAATATGATAAGAACTGAGCAGTAGCTGAGGGCCAAGGCTTCGTAAGAAGGCTTACGCCCGTATTCACTATCAATCCCTAATTTTTAAGCAGACAGTGGTGACTGAGTTTGTTGCGGCGCTTCTTCTCAGCACTTGCCAAATGTTGGTCTCGAAGCGCTGGTAGGGTAAAAAGATTATGAGACATGTAGAGGCTCCTTAAGAGCAAAATGACCATTTGTAAGAACTATTTATTAGTCTAAACAAATAAAGAAACTTTGACTTTGACTTAGGAACTGAGCTGTATCTGGCGGCCAAGACTTCATAAGAAGGCTTACGCCCGTTTTCACTATCGATCCCTAATTTTTAAGTGACTACGATGAAAACAAAATTCCTGTTATGTTGCCATAGAGGTCACTAAAATTAGGGATTGATAGTGAAAAAGGGCAATAAAAGGGTCTCCGCTAAAACTCGCGCGAGTTTGTATTGAAAATCAGTATCAGCAGCACATGTATTCCCCGCATAAACCTGCTCCGTGCAACCGCGCGAATTTTTTAGTCTCTTCAAATGACGATGGAGCGAATTATGCTCAGTTTCCCTGCATGATCGACTCACATGAGGAGATCCGCAGAAAAGCTAAAGTGACAGTAATAGCCCGTAGACTTGCCAAACTTAAGTGGCAGTGGGCGAGGCACAGGTCGTAGAACTGATAGCCGTGAGGCAGAAAATTTCTCGAGTGATGACCATAGCTTGGGAGACGTAGTATAGGTAGAACGAAGGTCCCGGGAAATAGCTGGATGCGGCTCGTTGTGGAAATCCTTGGGGGAGGCGTTTGTTCAGTAGTGGACGTCATTTGGAACCCAGGAACACTGCTGACGATGACGATGACGCGCCTCACCTCCGAGGCTGCGCACATTGGGCGGCGGGTCCTGCTGGAACAGCAGCTTGAGCGGGTAGATGTCGTCGAACTCGACGCGGGACACGCGGCCCAGGAACACTGCTGACGACGATGATGACGCGTCTCACCTCCGAGGCTTCGCACGTTGGGCGGCGGGTCCTGCTGGAACAGCAGCTTGAGCGGGTAGATGTCGTCGAACTCGACGCGGGACACGCGGCCCAGGAACACTGCTGACGACGATGATGACGCGTCTCACCTCCGAGGCTTCGCACGTTGGGCGGCGGGTCCTGCTGGAACAGCAGCTTGAGCGGGTAGATGTCGTCGAACTCGACGCGGGACACGCGGCCCAGGAACACTGCTGACGACGATGATGACGCGTCTCACCTCCGAGGCTTCGCACGTTGGGCGGCGGGTCCTGCTGGAACAGCAGCTTGAGCGGGTAGATGTCGTCGAACTCGACGCGGGACACGCGGCCCAGGAACACTGCTGACGACGATGATGACGCGTCTCACCTCCGAGGCTTCGCACGTTGGGCGGCGGGTCCTGCTGGAACAGCAGCTTGAGCGGGTAGATGTCGTCGAACTCGACGCGGGACACGCGGCCCAGGAACACTGCTGACGACGATGATGACGCGTCTCACCTCCGAGGCTTCGCACGTTGGGCGGCGGGTCCTGCTGGAACAGCAGCTTGAGCGGGTAGATGTCGTCGAACTCGACGCGGGACACGCGGCCCAGGAACACTGCTGACGACGATGATGACGCGTCTCACCTCCGAGGCTTCGCACGTTGGGCGGCGGGTCCTGCTGGAACAGCAGCTTGAGCGGGTAGATGTCGTCGAACTCGACGCGGGACACGCGGCCCAGGAACACTGCTGACGACGATGATGACGCGTCTCACCTCCGAGGCTTCGCACGTTGGGCGGCGGGTCCTGCTGGAACAGCAGCTTGAGCGGGTAGATGTCGTCGAACTCGACGCGGGACACGCGGCCCAGGAACACTGCTGACGACGATGATGACGCGTCTCACCTCCGAGGCTTCGCACGTTGGGCGGCGGGTCCTGCTGGAACAGCAGCTTGAGCGGGTAGATGTCGTCGAACTCGACGCGGGACACGCGGCCCAGGAACACTGCTGACGACGATGATGACGCGTCTCACCTCCGAGGCTTCGCACGTTGGGCGGCGGGTCCTGCTGGAACAGCAGCTTGAGCGGGTAGATGTCGTCGAACTCGACGCGGGACACGCAGCCCACGAAGCCCTCGGCCATGGACTCGTTGCGGCCGACGTACATGTACTGGATGTTGTTGAACTGCGCGTCCGCAGACTCCTTGATGTTGAAGCGGTATTCTTGCGTCTCGTAGTTGTCCACCTGGGAACAATGTTATGAGTCATGTATAGATTCCGGCAAAGGTCTTGTTCGGGCACCTTCGGCTGCCCTCGGCTGCTCTCGGCCCGGACGCGCGGGCGCACGGCAACCCACGGCGATAGGCCGCCACTTCACCTCACCGCGCGCGCTTCTCTATATTAATATTTGATTGTCTACCAGACTGTTTAACGTAGTTTACCAATAAACCTTTATATAGCCTGACCAGGAACATAAAAACCCTGGCATAGAGGCGCCTCAATTGCATTTGATAGTGCAACACTGAGTACAGTCGTACCTGTGTTAAATTAATAGGCTAACTTTATGTATCAGGATTCAGGATTACGGGCTAATTTGATATTTTCATAAATTAACGAAAAAATATTATTATAGGTAACCTGATTTAAATAAATTAAATGAAACCATCAATCGAGCTAGTAGATTTATTTTATTATTCATCAATAATCAAATTCAGAACTTGAATATTCAACTGCAATGTCTGCTCATGAACGCTTCAAACTCGGTACTTCTTTCCCAATCCCATAAAATTCAACACTTAGAGTGACAAAAAATTTTAAAACAGGTAGTTGAAACAAACCACAGCTAATTTTCATAGTGGACTGTACTATACGATAAACATGTCAGTCAATTTGACAACCTTTGTCGGAAACATTATTCAATGAAAATATTGTCCGAACCCTTAGTATTTCTCTTCGACAAATACTTTAACACATTGTGAACCACTTTTCTTTCACGACTATAAAAATATTTTAGCAATTTAATTCATAAAACCAATTGCGCACATTTAAAATAAAGTTTGTTTACACTTTGACAGCAATAGACTGACATGCAAGGTGACATGTCAATGAAGTTTTCAGTTACTGTTGCCATTAAAAGAAATTAGTACCATTAGTTTTCCGCAACATGGCGAGGGTTTTTATGTTCCTGGTCAGGCTATACCTAATACACTAAAAATAATAATATCTATGTGACTGATAAGTATAAGTATAGTGTGATCTTAAACTAAGTAGCTAATTTCTTATTAGCACTCGAGTGAAGGGAAGTACATAGTTCATAATCACTAAGTAGGTACAATAATTCATGATATGGCAATGGGTTAAATGAAATGTCTGTTAAATAGGACATAAATGGGTTTAGGTGTGAACTTCCTTGGCGGATATAATATGGTTCACTTGATAGTATTCAAGATACACAGAAAGCTTAGACAAAATACATTTATGTTGTGTAGAAATAACTATTTTGGAGGAGTTGTTCTTGTTGTATTGCTTTCAGGAACATTATTGTTTTAGTGTCAATATTTTTAAATTTATCGTTGGGCACTTGTGTGATCTGCGTATTATGTATAATTATTACTATCTACTATAGTAATATATAAGCATATACATACAGGATTGATACTTCAGAAACAAAGAGAATAATGTATGTGTAGTCAATTCATTAGTATTAGTAGTGGTGAGTGTTGGCTCACTAGCGACGCGACCCCAGGAGGGTGATAGGTGTGTGGCCGCTAGATAAAGAACTCGCGGCGCTTGGTGACATCTTTGATTGACTTATAATAAGTTGCGCGCACTTTATTTGGATGCAAAACTAATTGTGTATTTTTGTTACTGGTCATTAAAGTCGTATGCTCCCAATGGGGTCGTATGTAGCTACCGGTGTAGTGGTGAGTGTTGGCTCACTAGTGGTGCGAGGCGAGCTTAAGAGGGTGCAGGTAGGTGTGTGGGCGCTAGATGAAGAACTGGCGGCGCTTGATGACATCTTTTACTTACAATAAGTTGCGCGCACTTCATTTGGATGCAAAACTAATTGTGTATTTTTGTTACTGGTCATTAAAGTTGTATGCTCCCAGTGGGGTCGTATGTAGCTACCGGTGTAGTGGTGAGTGTTGGCTCACTAGCAGTGTGACCCTAGGAGGGTGCAGATAGATGTGTGGTCGCTAGATGAAGAACTCACGGCGCACTTTATGTGTTTTAAAAACTAATTGTGTATTTTGTTACTGATCGGTATTGAGATTCATAAGTCGTATGCTCCCAGTGGGGTCGTATGTAGCTACCGGTGTAGTAGTGAGTGTTGGCTCACTAGTGGTGCGACCTTAAGAGGATGCAGATAGGTATGTGGGCGCTAGATGAAGAACTCACGGCGCACTTTATGTGCTTTAAAAACTAATTGTGTATTTTGTGACTGGTCGTTATTGAAATTCATGGGTCGTATTTAAGCTACCAGTGTAGTAGTGAGTGTTGGCTCACTAGTGGTGCGACCCTAGGAGGGTGCAGGTAGGTGTGTGGCCGCTAGATGAAGAACTCGCGTCGCTTGGTGACGCGCGGTCCCGTGGCGGCCGCCAGCGCCGCGGCGTCGGGGTCGGCCGCGCCGTCTGCGCCGCGCTCCTCCTAAAGACGCCATAATTGTTAAAGATATCAGTCGTGAACTTTAGGATGATAGAATGGCTGCACGCGTTAGATAACGGGTTGTCGTAATCTAGCTAAGCAACGGTGTTTTGGGGGCTATAGTCTAGTCTGTGAGCACGTAGCATTTAGTCCAATGACCCCAAGCTACCCATCCTTATCGCTCGCGCGTAATTGTATTGCTGTCGCGACTGTGCGACGCGCGCCCGCAGTGAGTGTGCGAGCGCGACAGCAACATAATTACGCGCGAGCGATAAGGATGGGTAGCTTGGGGTAATTGGACTAAATTCTACGTGCTCACGGACCAGGCTTTAGATAGATATCACACGTGAACTTAGCATGATAGAATGGCACTTGCAGCGTTATAGTCTGGTCTGCGAGCACGTAGAATTTTGTCCAATGACCCCAAATTACCCATCCTTATCGTTCGCGCGTAATTATGTTGCTATCGCGCTCGCACACTCACTGCGGGCGCCCGTCGCACAGTCGCGACAGCAATATAATTACGCGCGAGCGATAAGGATGGGTAGCTAGGGGTCATTGGACAAAATTCTACGTGCTCACAGACCGGGCTATAGATAACGGGTTGTCGTAATCTAGCTAAGGAATGGTGTTTTAGGGGCTAGTAACTATTGATTATCTTCAATCATTAAATGAATTTTTCCAATCTAAATTATGGTGAGTCGTGTAAGATGCCTTTTTTGAGTAAAATGAGTTTATTGAGAAATTAAAAAAAAACACTCATTTAAATGGAGGTTTACAGTTTTGTTTTTCTTAAAATCACATCGTATAAGATATAATTAGTATTTATGTAATTCAAATAATGTACCTGCGTGAGATATTCTCCCTTGTGTCGTGACAATGCGCGCACCAGCACCACGGCTACAATAACCAGCAGCAGGAAGATGAATGCTAGCACCGCTGCGAAACAAAATTTTAAAATTATTAAAAATATTTTACATAAAAAACTAATCGTGAAAGAAGGGTCATGGACGCCGCGGATCATTAATGTAATTGATTAATCTGAACTAATAATCCAGCATTGATAGTGGCGCCCTCCTGTGTCATATCATAGACGCGTAAAATTTTTATTAAGACGTTTTATGTTTTTCCTCAAATATATCACGGAATTTAAAGCTGATTGTTTTTATACAATTAGATTAAATATCCGACTATATCTTGCAATTAAAAATGGTTGCATATATTAAGGTATAATTGAGAAAAATAATAAAAACAAAAATCACTAAAATCATTTTTCTTAATTAACTAAATGCGTTTACGAAGCACTTAATACGCTTATTACTTGTAGTTTTAAGAGCTCTATGAAGTATTATAACATTTCTGAATTAAATGTTATTAGTTAACGAGTGAGAATATTTTTTCATAATTTTGAAGTAAAAAAATAGGTAACTTTGAATTTTTATACCGCGAAAACTACGTGGAATTTTCAAACGGGAGTTTTACTGTCATGTTTGTATAACTGAGCTCTATACGGTTCATCAAATAAATGAGAATGTCCGATTATACAGTCCCATAACATACTGCGCGTGGTTATTTATGTAGTTACAGAATATAAAGTTTTGCAAGTGTAGCAGTGCAGCTATCGCGCGACCATAAACGCACATCGACGGCACTTGAAAAGTGATGGGACTTCTAAAGCCTGGTCCGTGAGCACGTAGAATCCCGTCCAATGACCCCAAGCTGCCCATCCTTGTCGCTCGCACGTAATTATGTTGCTGTCGCGCTCGCACACTCACTGCGGGCGCGCGTCGCACAGTCGCGACAGCAATATAATTACGCGCGAGCGATAAGGATAAGCAGGACCGTTCATTGTGGAAAACCTTGGGGGAGGCCTTTGTCCAGCAGTGGACGTCATCTGGCTGAAACGAACGAACGATAAGGATGGGTAGCTTGGGGTCATTGGACGGGATTCTACGTGCTCACGGACCAGGCTTTAGGATACTTTATTAATATAACAAGCTTTATTATACTTACTGCCGAGGATGGCCTCGTCGGTCTTGTGGTAGTCGCGCTCGGCCTGCAGGTCGGTCCGCGGCGGCGGGCGCGTCTCCACCGCCTCAGGCGGGTGCGTCACCGGCTCCACGCCGCAGAAGTCTTCGTGCAATACGCCGCCTGCGGGACAATCATCAACAGCCCTTTACAATCCACTGCTGGACTATCAGCCTCCTCTACTATAGTGGAGGGTTTTGCCATAATCCCCACGCTTGGCAGGCGGGTTGGAGATCGCAGTTTAAAAGATTGATGTTTGTCAGAGAGCGCTGCTGCCCGTTCTCTGTTTGATGTGTAGTCCCTAAGTCGCCTCTTACGACACGCGTGGGAAGAGTAGGGGTTGGTGACAAATGTATTCTACTCTGCCGTCACCACACGGCTGCGGGACAATATCATTTAGGAACTGAGCTGTATCTGGCGGCCAAGACTTCATAAGAAGGCTTAAGTCTGATTTACACGCATTAAGTAGATAAGTAGATGACTAAATTTCAAGTTGGTAGGCGGGGCTTATCACTTGACACGTTTTGACAAGTAGTTTAATAGTAAACAAGAGCTTGACGTTTGAAATTAAGTTAAAATTTAGTTAAATACTTAACTACTTAATACGGGTAAATCATCAGCCTTTAGGGCCTCCGCTAAAACCAGCTTGTTTGTATTGAAAATCAGTATAAATTCACAATAAATGATTTTGTATTTGTATTTGTATTTACTATGAGCAGCACTTCCATTTCCCACATAAACCGCTCCCGCACCGTGCTCCCACGCGAATTTTTAGTGCAGGCTCTTCATAGGGCGATGAAGCGTGTTATGCTCGGTTTCCCTGCATGATCGACTCAAATGTGGAGATCCACAGGAAAACCAAAGTGACGGCAATAGCCAGTAGACTTGCCAAACTTAAGTGGCACAATGGGCGAGGCACAGCTCGTAGAACTGAAAAGTTCTCGAGTGACCATAGGTTTGGAGACGTAGTATAGGTAGAACGAAGGTCGCAGGAAACAGCTGGATGCGAGCGGCTCGTTGTGGAAATCCTTGGGGGAGGCGTTTGTTCAGTAGTGGACGTCATTTGGAACCCAGGAACACTGCTGACGATGACGATGACGCGTCTCACCTCCGAGGCTTCGCACGTTGGGCGGCGGGTCCTGCTGGAACAGCAGCTTGAGCGGGTAGATGTCGTCGAACTCAACGCGGGACACGCGGCCCAGGAACACTGCTGACGACGATGATGACGCGTCTCACCTCCGAGGCTTCGCACGTTGGGCGGCGGGTCCTGCTGGAACAGCAGCTTGAGCGGGTAGATGTCGTCGAACTCGACGCGGGACACGCAGCCCACGAAGCCCTCGGCCATGGACTCGTTGCGGCCGACGTACATGTACTGGATGTTGTTGAACTGCGCGTCCGCAGACTCCTTGATGTTGAAGCGGTATTCTTGCGTCTCGTAGTTGTCCACCTGCGGACATAAAACAATGAGTCGTGTACTAATTCTGGCAAGGGTATTCTGGTCTGGCTGAAAGTAATAAGCGCAGAACGGAAGCGCAAATATGTTTTGTGACTTTTTGATGTTGTCATGGTACTCTTGCGCCTCATAGTTGTTCACCTGCGACCATGATATTATTAAGTGCTAAGGTCAAAAAAATAAGTCATAATTACGTGCAAGTGATACGGGTAGCTTGGGGTCATTGTACGAAATACTATCTGCTCGGCGACCGGACTTAAGTGCTCTTATTGTGGTGCAGTTTGCTACGCTGCGATTTTGCTAGGACCAGGATGTCGCTACCATTGCAAAGTGACTTTATTAAGTGATATTGAAACTTCAGTGGCATTACGCTTGCAATCCGTTAGTGTAGTAGCTCACTTATGACACCCCCCACGTTCAGAAGCTGACTTAATAAGCCAACGTTGTGACTTAATGACATCATACACATCCAAAGATCATCATTGTGACCTTAATGACATCCCGATGTGACCCCAGACATCACAGACAAAAGGTAGGAGAGCTGACCTGTAACACCATGGTGGCGCCACTGTCCTTCCTCGAGAGCCGCACGTCGTGGTACTGGCCGAGCCCGAAGTGCTTGCCTTGGAAGATGATCTCCTGCCGCTCGAAGCCGAAGTCGAACACCACTCGCAAGTGACCTGCGCAATACATTTGAAGGTTAATAAGGTTAATTGCACCGTGACACGAAACGTTGTAAGACCAAGCCAGTTGATTATCTAACTGGAATNCAATTGCGCACATTTAAAATAAAGTTTGTTTACACTTTGACAGCAATATACTGACATACAAGGTGACATGTCAATGAAGTTTTCAGTTACTGTTGCCATTAAAAGAAAATAGTACCATTAGTTTTCCGCAACATGGCGAGGGTTATTATGTTCCTGGTCAGGCTATAAATACACTTCATTGCTATCATTTCGGCCGAGGGGCCAGGTCCCTAAGAGGCCCCTGCAGGTCTCATGCACAGAGAGTAACATACGCAGAACATAAGCGCAAACATTTTTTGTAGGTCCATGATGTTGACGCGGCACTCTTGCGTCTCATAGTTGTTCACCTGCCGACTAACCGTAATATTATTGAGTGCTAGTTTTCTGACAGTTTGGTCTGCGAGTGCGCGTCTCAGGCATGTAAATGGGGAAGTTGCGGCTATTGCAAAGTTGCATCCTAAATGTTGGCAAGTCACCGTTGTCGTTACATTAATGAGTCACATCCTCATGTTAGCTAGCGTTGCGACCGTTGTGGTAGTTGCTAATTGCTCATAAGATAGGCCCCCTTAATTTAATTTATTGTCCGTGGTGCATAATCTTTTTCTTAAAGGTTTTAAACCTTTGTTTGTCACCTGTCATCCGCTTTGCAATGGAGGGAAGTCGAACCTTAATTTCGAACTCCTCCTATGTTCTTCTGATTAATTTCCTTGCGGGTCCAATGACAGTTTGGGTTTTTGTGGCGGTCAAGCTGTAGATCCTGGCTACACAGGAGTTGCAGTGGTGGGAACGAGAGGTGGGAATAGTCCCGTGTTAGCGTTGTGACCGCAGTCAGTGACTGCCAGTCACACCCCATGTTACATTGCCACTGATATCCCACACATTCAGAAACCTTATTATCTTAGAAACATCCAAGCGTTCGGAAGCTGGCTTGTGACTTTAGTGACATCTCACATGTTTGTAGGCCAGCATTGTGACTTTATTGAAACCTGAAGCATTCAGGGATCTTAATGATATCCCATGACATCGGAAGTCAGCGTTGCGACTTTAATGACACCCCACATCTTATCTAGAAGCCAGTTTTATAACCTAGACATCACACAAGAGGTAACAACTAACCTGTAACACCATAGTGGCGCCACTGTCCTTCCTCGAGAGCCGCACGTCGTGGTACTGGCCGAGCCCGAAGTGCTTGCCTTGGAAGATGATCTCCTGCCGCTCGAAGCCGAAGTCGAACACCACTCGCAAATGACCTGCGCAATACATTTGAAGGTTAATAAGGTTAATTGCACCGTGATACGAAACGTTGTAAGACCAAGCCAGTTGATTATCTAACTGGAATATGTACAAACTGTTGCACGAATCAACTCGCCACGATGTACCTAAGATGCTACAGTGTTCAGCTTGACGAGCCGTTGTCTTAAAGATGATGATATTAGAGTAAAAGATGACAAACATAAGGGAAGGGTTCGTCCATTATTTCCAGTGCGTATGAAGATCGGCAAGTGGTTTGGCCTGTAAAAAATCATTGGGTTATGATGAAGGAGTAATCTAGTAGCCACTGAAGATTTTTTTTAAAGAATTTGTATCCAGAAATTTACTGATAGTCCCATTAATCCCTCGTACTAAGCTCAACATGATTGTGTTACGAGTAGATTCACCACAATAGTCCATCGGCGACGGGATCGAACCAGCGCTCCTCGGATCTTAAGTCGGCCAGTCCGACATCTTCATCTATTGTCGTTTCAATTGCCCCATGATTAATCATCATTTCAACGAACACTCACCTGAATTAGACACCATGAGCGTGAGATACTCGGCAGATATATTCGAGTAGAAGCCGAGCAGGAATCCCTTGGGGTTGGTGGTGGTGAAGCCCACGCGGATCTTCTCGGCGATGGTAGAGCGCCACGAGCCCAGGAAGTCGTACTTCACCATGGAGTTGGGCCGGAGGTTCACGCCGATTTCTGGAAAAAATATGAAATAAGAAAATTTATTACTATGGACACATGATTCCAAAATTATTGAATTTTCGGTCGTAATAAAATAAAACGATCAATCTCTGTCTAGCCCTTATAAAAAAAGAGTGTAAAAACAAAATTTTCGAGTTTTTTAGTCTTATCCTAATTTATTTATTAAGAATCAGCATTTCTGAAGCAGGGTCAATATCAGAAAACAAGGTACAAAATCATAGAAAGTGTAAATCCCATTTTTTGCCAAACATAACGCATTCCTAACTTCAAATAACTGCCTGGGTTTTAAGCCTCCGAGTGCTAGCAATATGCGCAATGTTTAAGCAAGGTTCAGACACACGATAACCACGAGGTTTCTGCATGGTTCTCATGGGTGAGACACTGTAGCGGTAACCGTACAGTTACGGTTTAATCCAAATGCCCAGCAACCGCGCGATTATCACCATATCTAAAGCAAAAGCTGTATGTTTTGCTATAAGTTCCACACTGACCGTCGGCGCAGATGGGCCCCTTGAAGGCGGTCCAGCGGCAGTCGCAGGAGTAGGAGTCGTAGCCCTCCAGGCACGTGCCGTTGTTGAGGCACGGCGACGAGCCGCACTTGCCCACGCAGCCCAGCGAGATGCCGTACAGACCTGCGACAAGTTGTATTTCTATACTTGCGACAACGATTCGTTAACACATTTGCTGTATTTAATGTTTAAGGTAACTACAACGTAACGCACAAAGAGTCAGGGAGGGTAGGTGAGGAGTGTTGCGTTGTTATGACGGAGATAACGTAACGCAACGCAATTTTTACCAACGCTGCGATGTCGGAGTAAGCGTTGCGATGCGCCGCTCGTATGGCTCGTATGGTGGAAACCGGGCCTTACTCGAATCTCCTCGGTATATGATGCCAACTGTCTAGTTACCCCTTTTGATTAATTTCGTTGCGGACCCAACGACAGTTTAGCTTTCCACCGGGACAAACTTGACCTTTACTTGTTGGGTTTTTAGAGTAGTTTTATTTGTAGATCCTAGGCACACAGGAGTGGCAGCGGTGGGAACGGGAGGTGGGAATAGTCCCGTAACTCCGACTCAGGCTCGAGAGGCCCAGCGTTAGTTATTCACCAGCACCGTCGTCAATTGTCGTCGCGAGTGCTCGAGTATAGTCTGTGTGACGTCACAGTATAGTTACTCCTGCGCGCATGCAGCCCACGAAGCGCGCCCAGTACCAAAGCCGTTGTCAGTCGCAGCTCAGTATGACGTCACTGTGTAGTTACGGGGCGTGGATATGGCCGCTGTGACGTCACAGTATATTACCCCTGCGAGCGTGGGCCGCCAGGTCGACGGGTACCAGTGCCGTTGTCAGTCGCAGCGCGCGCGCCGGGTCTTGGAGCTCGGATCCCGTCAGTATGACGTCCCTGTGTAAAGCCTGGTCCGTGAGCACGTAGAATCCCGTCCAATGACCCCAAGCTACCCATCCTTATCTCTCGCGCGTAATTATGTTTCCACCGCGCTCGCACACTCACAGCGGGCGCCCGTCGCACAGTCGCGACAGCAATATAATTACGCGCGAGCGATAACGATGGGTAGCTAGGGGTCATTGGACAAAATTCTACGTGCTCAGGGACCGGGCTTTAGTTGGAATCTCTCTTTATCTCTATGGACGTCACAGTATAGTTACCCCTGCGAGCGTGGGCCGCCAGGTCGACGGGTCGTCCGTTGAGTAACAGAGCCCGCATACAGCCCACGAAGCCGCCGCTGCGGTCCAGCGCCGCGCCCAGAACTAAAGCCGTTGTCAGTCGCAGAGCGCGCGCCGGGTCGGCTGGTGCTCTTATCTCGTTCTTTAGGGCGCCGTCCACTACGACTCGTGCCTCTTTCCTGATGGAATAACATGAAGAAAGTCAGATTTAATCAACGTTACTCCACAACATCAATTTACTCATGCGCAAGAGTCTGCAAGCGCGCAATTTTGTTCTTTAGCGCGCTGTCGACTACTACGCAAGTAACTTTACTGGTGGAATTGAAAACAAATTGTCAAAAGAAATATCGAAACAAGGTTATTGAACACACGCGCAGGATTTTGCGAGCGCGCAATTTCGTTCTTTAGAGCGCCGTTCACTACCACTTACACTTCTTCTGTAATTAAGTCACAAAATACATAGATTCAGAACATCTAAGTTGGTCTTTCCGATGATGGACAGCTTGAAATTAAACTTTAACAGTCTAGCCACAAGTACCTGTTTCGCTCGATAGAGACGGAGTGCCAGTTGTTGTCGGCGAGGCGGCTGGAGGTCTCGACGGAAACGCCTAGCGGTGTGTCTCCTACTTGGAACTGGAACTGCAGCTGGTCTCCGCCGATGATCGACAGCTTTATGTAGTCTTGCGGGCCCTAGGAACATAAAACGTGTCAAATGTTTGCCTCTGTTGGTGGTGTTTATAACTTAGCTGTGTATGTGCTTCTCATCATAGTTGATTACCAAACGTTCGACGATTGATACTGGCAGTTGTGGAAAGTCTTGTAAATTCATCACTTAAGATCAAGACTTCAAAATATACCCCTCAGAAAGACGACAAAAGAAACAGAAAAAACATCGATTTTTTTAACCTCATAAAAGACTGATTTCATCGAAAATGAATACCTTTGAATGAAGCAGCACAGCATTCTCCTTAGTGGTCCTAAACTCGAAGTAGATGTCGCCACTGTGGCCCAGGTCGAAAGTCGGCAGGGAGATGATGGCATCCGATACGCGGAACGTCACTGTATTGCTGAATAAATCTAGATAACAAACAAATTAACCTTAATTAATGAAAAAGTATACGGTCCGCCATTTTGCTCCTAAATATTTACAAGAAACACAATGTTATTTTTAAACAAAGGTGCAATCGTGAACTTAAAGTAAACGACAAGTTTTTTAGGCCGAAGCGAGTAGCTTGCCCAAAAGATCCTTATTCTCTTTTCTAGTCATGAAGATGGGTACTTGAGAGCACTTCTGTTTAGTTTTGATACAAAAAGTATTAAGACTCAGCAAAAAGTTTTCTGGGGACTTCTTACATCGGTGCGTAAAACCTCAGTAATTAAATACATTTTAAATGAACTATCTTAAAAAAGCTTACCGTCTCCTTCGCACAAAAGCGGGCCGAGAGTGTACCGTCCCTCTTTCTCGTCGAGATGGCTGCCCGTGTCTCCGAAGCGAAGCTGCTTCACTGGCAGGAACTCTTTGTCTGTGATGTCCCCTCCGTCGGATTGGAATTCTGTCATAACGATAGAAATGTTATTTTTCTGCTATTGATTGATGATTTTTCCAGTAGACAATGTAGATAGGTAGTAAATTCTGTAAGAAAAGTTGTTTTGATCATTAAAAGATTCAATATAAAACTTGAGGCCTTATTGACAACTAGCTTTCCGCCCGCGGCTTCGCCCGCGTGGAATTTTGTCTGTCACAGAAAAACTTTATCGCGCGCGTCCCTGTTTCAAAAACCGGGATAAAAACTATCCTATGTTCTTTCCCGGGACTCAAACTATCTCTATACCAAATTTCATCAAAATCGGTTGCGAGGTTTAAGCGGGAAAGCGTAACAGACAGACAGACAGACAGACAGACAGACAGAGTTACTTTCGCATTTATAATATTAGTTGGGATAGTGACTGTGTTTCTTGCGCGCTGCTTTTTTTCATCAATGGTCCATTACTGTCCCGAAGCAGTGGTAGGGATGTGTAAAAGTGCTCTTTAAGAATTTACTTGCAAAAAAATTATTATGAAATGAATCTCGAAAATAGATTCAAAGTATAACACTAAGCTCGTGGTTGGTTTTGTATCTGTTTTTATGTGTATTGAAAACATGTATAATGTACAAAACGCCCTACGGAACTAACTATTCATTTCGCCTCATGGACACTTTTTTCGTTTACCCCTGGTTTTGAGGCTGCACAAGTGAAATCAAAGAACTTTTATTCGCTGCAATCTCCACCTTACTAATTAAACTTACACGCTCGGTGATCAGTGTTTTAAAGTGACGTGACGTAATCAACAACTATGTTACTTTTTATTAGTAAGGGGGTTAGGTTACAAATTAGGTGTTGACTTTCTCTCTCTTTCTATGTACTTGTATCAGAAGATGTCGCTCTTCCATAGCTTAATACATTGTACAAAACCTTGGTATAGGGAAGTTCCTCTATCAAGGTTCCCTTGGAAGCGCAGGTAGCGGGGAGTTTGATCCGGGCAATCCGAGCGTCATTATTGTAGTGTGCGTATGCACTCATGGATAATTTTAGCGTGTACCGATAACACTCAAACTTTCGCGGAAGAATGGTTGGGCACGTCTTCGTGGATGAAACGATCTATAACGAACGAACTTGCGTTTAGGATCAAATTCGCAATTGGTCCAATCGCGAAAAATTTACAAATTCGTGATTAGTCCAATTCGCGATTGGTCCAATTAGCTATTGGTCCAATTTGCTATTGGCCCAATACGTAATTGGACTAATTCGCTTTTTTCTGCATATAGTAGTAAAAGTTGACTAACCTCCTTATTTTTTTCATTTTGGATATCCTTTTATTTTGGACCAATTACGAATTGGACCAATAGCGAGTTGACCCAATAGCGAATTGGACCAATCGCGAATTGATCGAGAATTGGACTAATCGCGAATTTGTAAATTTTTCACGATTGGACCAATTGCGCTTAAACGTATTACTAGTCACGTACCTGCGGGGCTGAGCGGCGCGTGCTCGGCGTCGCAGTTGCACCACTTGGTGCTGTCGACGCAGGCGCCGAGCACGCCGCAGCGACACATGCGCGAGCCGGCCGGCGCGCCCGCCCAGTAGTCCATGCGCTGCCCGTGAGACACCCGCCACTAGTCACGTACCTGCGGGGCTGAGCGGCGCGTGCTCGGCGTCGCAGTTGCACCACTTGGTGCTGTCGACGCAGGCGCCGAGCACGCCGCAGCGACACATGCGCGAGCCGGCCGGCGCGCCCGCCCAGTAGTCCATGCGCTGCCCTGTGCGCGACACCCACCACGCGTAAGGGTGGAACGAGCTCTCGTCGCCTGCAACACAAGACGGTAAAATGGTATGATTATTCCGTCAATGTTGTTGTGCTGAAATGGTGGTGGTGAGATTCGTTAACAAACTAATGCCGCTGACATAGACCGACGGATTGGCAAGCGTAAGTGGCTGTTAGCAAGGAACATAGCGGAACTGACAACCGATGGGACAGCATAGTTCTGGAGTACACAAGATAGTCAACGACTTTTACGAGGACGTCGAAAGGCGGCACTGGATGCAGGCAACTACAAACCGGGAGATTTGGAAATCATTGGGGGAGGCCTACATTCAGCAGTGGACGTCCTGCGTCTGAAATGATGATGATGATGGTGAAGTGGTGGTAGAACCAGTTATTTGAGACGTGTATAAGTACCCTGAAAACGGCTACGTGTTAAAAGTTTGAATGATTAGAGATTCCGAGTTAGGCGTGTGCGTTGCGCCAGCGCTGCGACGTCTGAACGTGACACGTGACGCACAGTGCGTTAAAACATTAATACACTCACTGGGCGAATTGAGCAGGCGCGAGTGTCGGCAGCGGTATTCAAGGCGCTGCGAGCAGGAGCGACTCCGGTTGAGTAGCGCCTCGAGCTGTGCGCGGTCGGCGTCGTACGTGATGTCCTGACGGAAGCTGCCGGGCTCCTGGTGCCCGTCCACCACGCTGCTGGACAGCGACTCGTGACGGACCGACGTCAGCACGCGCCCGTCCGCTGTGGAGGAAACGTAATGAGGGTGTGCCGGTATGCACAATACTTAATCTCTTCATATCTTATCTTGATCACGTTCACAGTGTCAGCACATTTATCACGTATAGTGCTGATGCTGTGACGTCATTTACCTTTACTCTATATCGTATAAATAGTCACGCAGTTCACACTAATAAACAGATTAATAGCAGAGACTAACTACAACCCGTGTCTCATTCATACGGTCTCCCAACATGGCACAAATTGGTGACCCCGACGTGATCGTTTATCGTTTTTGATCGCTGACACTGTGAACGTGATCAAGATAAGATATGAAGAGATTAAGTATTGTGCATACCGGCACAAGGGCTATCGTTTTAGCGCTCACCAGTTTGCACCACTGTAGAGTAAGGTCCTGTCACTTGCTAGTAGCGAAGACAGTGGCACCAACTGGTGAGAGCTAAAGTGGTAGCAGGACTATCGCATTTGCACTCGTCAAGATGGCGCCACTGTAGAGTAAGGTCCTGTCAATCGCCAGGGGTGCCAACTGTTAAGTATAAAAACGATAGCCCTCATTGGATGCAACTCTCAAGAAAGGCTTAGACGATGTCCTGAGTCAGCGACGCGCGCGCGACTTTACGACTCGACGCGCGATACGTCGCTTGATCGCAGATCTGACTGTCAAGAAAGGCTTGAATGGTGTCCTGGATCGCGTAAGAGCGTGTCTTGAAGCTGTGCGACGCGATGATACGTCGCTTACCGCAAGCGAAGGATGCCTTTAGTTCTTGGACGAATAAANATGATGTGACGTGAGGTGCCAAACTGCGGAAAATGGCGGAGGAAATACATGATTTAGCATGAATTATCATAAATAATATTAACTACTTATTTACCTCGCAGTGTCTTGAGGCAACTTAAAAAAGTACATTCTGTGTTTTTATTATTATTTTGGCAGTTAAATACTGCACAGTATTTAGTACACCATTTTCTTTATTTTCTTCCATCATACACAAGAACACGCGTGCGTGAGTCAATGTTCGCTCGTATGTGAGGCCTTGTCGAATAGTATCCTGTAGGTGGGCCATCGTGCGTGTTTTGTTTTCGATGTAAACTCGCGGAGATGAACAGGCCTGATGCAACTCTCAAGAAAGGCGGTGTCCTGAGTCAGCGACACACGATTCGACAAGATGCGATGATACGTCGCTTCTGGACGCAAAGGATACCTTTAATTTGATAGTGCTTGTCACGCTTGTCGCGTCGCGTCGCACTCGTCGCAAGCAAGAAGCAAGAGATGTCAAAATGACACTTTTTACTTTTCCTATTTCTGTTCATAAAGGGTTATTATTTCTGGGATTACTAAATAGACCTTCACTTCACGTGTAGAAACAATGAATAGGGACAATAACCTCGGAATTTATGAGATTTAATCAACAGTCTAAAATGGATATTTATAAAAAAAAATGCATGGTCAATGTCAATAAATGGCACTAAAAAAATCATAGCTTCCTTTTCTGCTCAAGTCAACACTACCAAGTTATCTTCCTGTACATACCGTTACGTCATAGCGTTAAGAATAACCGCATCCACTCACATAGGAACTCGCAGGTGACGGGGAAGGCGGGCAGCGGGCCGGAGCCGTCCACGTCGATGTGCAGGTCCACGGAGCGCGACACCGACATCACGTTCTTGTAGGCCTGGCACGACAGGGGGTGCACCGCTGGGGGACCATAGGGGTATTCATATTTACACACGCAAGATGGGCTAGGAGAATTTTCACACAATAAACAAATAAATGTGCCCTGCCCATTGCCACTTCAGCTTGCTAATCCGTCGGGCTATGTCAGCAACTTTAGTTGGTTTACGGATCTCCTCATTTCTGATTAGATTTCGTAAAGAAACACCAAGCAGCCCTCTCCATAGCACGCTGTGCAACTTTGAGCTTCTGTATAATAGTGAGAGGCCACGTTTCCGAGCCGATGGGGCAGCAAGGTTCTGGAATGGAGGCCGCGTACCGGAAAACGCAGCGTGGGACGTCCACCTACAAGGTGGACCGACGACATCGTAAAGGTAGCAGGGAAGCGCTGGACCGCAGGCCGCTACCAATCGATCAACGTGGAAAGCATTGGGGGAGGCCTATGTTCAGCAGTGGACGTCCTATGGCTGAAATGATGATGATGAAAAAAGACAGTTAAGCACGAGTTGAGGGATCCGTATCCTCACACTTCTATAACTTCTTTGGCTAGCGTCGATAGCGTGGGCTTCTAGCGAAGCAGCTGCAGCGAAGACCAAATTAATGATCTAATGATGATAATCCTCGCTCATTTCCTTGTATATTTTTGACCCTAATGTGAATGATGTAAGAGATATCTTACATGGTTTACAGAGTAGATATTATATAAAATGTACACAATATCGTCTTCAAATTCACCACAATTTACATAATAGGAGTACGCTCTTCCATACTTTCTAACTGAACATTTCAGTTTTTTGTAATAACCAAATTGTGTCGTACTCCTTTCCCGTATCGACCTTACTCCGTTTTGATTTTATTGCGAATATCAATTACCTACACTGTGGTTTTCTGAATAAAGAAAAATAATACAGATATGTTTGAAATAGCTCATGAAGCGTGTGTAACACAAGATGTATTGCAATAATTGTGTGTTTCACGTACACGTGTGGCAGACGGCGCCCGCGTAGCCGGTGCCGTGGCAGTCGCACGTGAACTCCTCCGCCGTCTGCGTGCACTCGCCGTTGTGCTCGCACGGGTTCGGGTTGCACCTGGAACATAAAACTCATTTTATTTTTGCAAGTAGGCTTTTAAAAGCACTTTCACACGTCCCAGTATTAACCCTACCACTGCTTCGGGACAATAAATGGGCCAGTGCTGAGAAGATGCAGCGCAAGAATTCTTAGGACACTTACAATATTTTTTGTGATTATCGTAATAACCTTAGGCCGGTCTACGATGCGAGCCACGATATAATCTTATAGTCGATTTTGGACGAAAAATGTATCTCGGTAAAATGTATCGGTAAGACGTTATAATAGCACGCATCATAGGCATGTCTTACGAGGGTGCATATAACGTTATGAAGGCAATTTTATCGATTAGTTTGATGACATCTAAAGTGATCTATATCTACTACCCCTGGTAGTGATAGTGGATTATGATCTGCTAAGGGTCTATGTAAGCGCCCCTGATATGTTCTGATCTTGTCGCTTTGGTAGAGTTAAGTAGTCGCAGTTTGAACATTAGGGTGAAATCAAAAGGAATTTAGGGCCTTGGTAATGATGAGAAGCTTTCATTAGGCTTTCTGAAGTCCGCAGAGATCTCATTTCTATTGAGAGACAGTTAACAGGTTGAGGTAAGGTTTACGTCCTCTCCACTGTATTAAAGCCCGGTCAGTGAGCACGTAGAATTTTGTCCAATGACCCCAAGCTAACCCATTCTTATCGCTCGCGCGTAATTATATTGCTGTCGCGACTGTGCGACGGGCGCCCGCAGTGAGTGTGCGAGCCCGACAGCAACATAATTACGCGCAAGCGATAAGGATGGGTAGCTTGGGGTCATTGGACAAAATTCTACATGCTCACAGACCAGACTATAGTACCTGTCGATCATCTGGCAGGCGTCGAAGACGACCTCGTTGGGGCAGCAGTACTCGTCCTTCTTCCAGTCGGTGGGCTGGCGGTAGTTGCCGTCCACGGCGATGCGCCGCATGCAGCCCACGAAGCCGCGCGGCGGAGCCTTGCCGCCTGGGGAACACGGGGGCATTCGTTACAATCATTCTTATAACAATAAGAAGATTTTTGGTATTGAAGGATGTTTAGTAAAGGGATTGGAGGGTTCCAACGAACAGTTTAGATCTTCTCTATATATAGTGTAGTGGCTAGAAATGTATTTATTCATATGTTATTTACGTACTACTTTATTCTCAGTTTGACCCTAAGGTTGACTGGAGGAAAATGCCCAAAGGCATTAAGTCCGCCTTATGTACACCGTTATATGTGCATGTAAGTTTGAAATAAAAAAAAATGTCGACTTTCTCAAGTGAAATGCTCGAAAGGTTCACATTTGTTTAGAACTTTGCAGATTTTAATAAACATACATAATACAACCCGATTGAGTTAATTGCGCACTTGGCAGTCGTGAGGTCACATAGACGCTCTGGTAAGGACGGGGCGAGCGCGAAGAGGTGTGGGGGTAAGAATCGCATTCCAGCGAGGTGCGCAGTTAACTTGATCGGGTTTTAAAAGTTGTCAGGCATGTCAAATCAAACGTCATGGTGTTAAAGTCTAAGACCAAGGTTATGATCTCCGTTAATCCAAGTCGTTATGATCTCCGTTGATCCAAGTCCATTGTGATACAAGTGAGTGACGCGCGCGCCAGCGGCCGTCGTTGAAGGTCAAGGTGATCTTAGTTGAATCTGAGTCCAGTGTCATGGCCTATACAAGCCCCTGTAGAGCCACTAGGACAGGTTAAGTTACCTGCGATGTAGTAGGTGCCGCCAGTCAAGAAGCGCAGACGCTTGGTGGTGCGCACAGGCCGCTTGTCCACAGCTAGCACCAGACTGTCGGGCCCCATGGTAAGTGAGAGCGCGCGCCAGCGGCCGTCGTTGAAGGTATCCGCGTAGTTGTCAAGCTTCACGCGTGGCGCGCCTGGCGTGTCAAGTTCCACCTTGATCTTGCCCTCTTCCAGGAACACCTGGAAAATAGAAGAAATGAATAGTAGAATGAGTTTGGAATAAGATGCGTTGTGTCAAAACGGCCCGCAAGAACTAAGGTCGTATATCCATTATCCACCGCCACCATCACAGACATGCCGAGAACAAAATGACAACGTAGTTAGACTCTCGAGCGCCGTGATCTCAAAAAAGAAAGTGAAAAATATCAAGCAATCGATTAACCCCTCATGATAAGCTAAATATGCTTATGTTAGTTAGTGGGTTCACCACAATAGTCAAGCGGCGGCGGGGATCGAACCCGCCTTCCTCGGATCACGAGTCAGCCACTCTGACACC